GCCCTTGCACACTTGTCACTGTATTCAGGCCATACAGTGCGTCACTTCCAGGGGACGCCTTAGCATTAACACAATTTCTTAAAGGATTAATGTCATTATTGTTCGACAAGTTTTACGCTGGCTGTCGACTACCTAACGCAACCCTCAACTTTTCTCATCCAGGACTTGGGACCTGGCAACGACAGTGTTAATAGAATTTTATAAACATATAAACTTAAAATTCTGAGATGCAAAAATTGGGGTAATACTTTGTGATTTTTACCTCTTGAAAATTTGGGATATTACATCTCGATTCCATTGTAATGAAATATATTTGGTTTAATTTTTCTTTCTAGTATATTAAAGTTTTAATTTCTTATATTGATTTGATTGAAATATTTTCTTATTAAGATCAAAGTTTTAAGAAAATTACCTCGCTCTTCATAACTTGCATGATCTCAATTTTCTCTTATTGTACGTGAGTCGGCTGTTTTACACTAGGAAAACTAATTTCATAAAAGTTTGAAGAAGAAAATGTATATTCAGCACCGTCATTTTAATCCTCTCTCTTTACTTTAACTTCAAATTCGCTTTTGATTGTGAGATTATTTTGATTCCTAATTAAAGTGTTCAGGGTTTAAATTAGATCTTTTATATAGTTTAGAACTAGAATGGCCTCTCTCAAATAGTTGGGGCATCATTTTGATCCTTTTTCTTACCTTAAAATAGATTTGTGCTGTAATTGAGCATGATATTTTTTAATTATATGTCTAGCTTTATATTTTTTTGATATGCTAACATTCATATTTGTTGTTGTAATACCACAAAATTTCTTGAAATGTCTATTTCTCTTTCAAAACAGTTTAAGTGATAGAGCACTACTTTTATCTTTAAATATCTGGCAAAATTTGTGTTGTTTCTTGCTGTTTCATGTTGCTTCTCACGTTATCAATTTTTAATCTTGTAGCTTAGATCATTAGCCCTTCCATTTACTGTAATGGAGTGGACTCTGCCCACTGCACCTCGTCCACCACCTATACAGTCTTCATTTTCTTCAAAGTCATCCATTGCAACTTCAACAACTAATGCATCTTTTAGCGAATCAAGTGAGTATTGAATGTAATTGCTTTCTTTCTTGTACTATATCATTTTAATCAGTTAATATTCAGTCCTTTGTAACTTAAAATTGGTGCATGCCTTCTTGGGCAACTGATACTTGCATGCTGATAGAAGGAAATTATTGTTTCATAGGGATTACAAGCACAGATAGTAGTGGTGATGACCTATGTGAGAGTTTTGCTTTTGCATTAGTCAATGGTGCTCTTGGAGTTTTTGAAGTTCATGGAAGGAGGATACGAGATTTTAGGTACCCCCGAACACCCCCCTCCTCTACACTTTTGTTTTGAGATGTTTGGAGCCGTCTCTACAAGCTCTAAGCCCTTTTCTTAACAAGTATGAAACTTTTTACTGCCAAATAAGCACAAAGTGCAAACCAGAGGCAACATTTAACTGGAGTCTATTGCAGCAATTTGCCTGGGTATCAAAGTTGTTTTCTTGATTACCATAGATGAAGGGTACCCTGTGGACCGACACTATCTAATTGCTTTATAAGTATGATAATATCAAGTTCTTTTTCCCTTGGCTTTTTAGATCACATCATTATACTTCTTTCTCATCATTTTCCTGGTAACAATGAGTTTTACCACGAGGATTAAGGACCTGAGGCTAGTTTTTTCGCGTACTACAAAATGAGTTCTGCTCCAGACTTTTTGCTCTAAACATTCTCGCTTGATTTATCCCTTTAGGGATACACACAAGCTCAAATATTGTGATATGATTCCAAACTTTTAGCATGCCAGTACTTCACTGGCATTATGGGTGTCCTAGGTATCTGACTAATTGCCGCTTATAAACACTAGTAAAAGTATAATTTTCCATATGCAATATCAATGAATTGTCTTTTGAAAACGTTAACTAAATATATCAGCCTGAAGAATATTGCTTTATTACATAAAATTGTCGGATTTCTAACCGTAATGATGCTTTGCTGCTATACTCCTTCAATGAAATTTGCATGATCTTGGAGACTCTCCTAGTTTTTATGCTTTGCCTAACGCAATATTAAAGTTATTTCAAATTCTATGGATCAACATGGAACTACAATATCACATGACTTCAATTCAAATAGATATCCCACTGATTTATGTCTGCGCCGAGTCGATTATGATTGCACTAGTTCTATTAGAACGACCCAAGCCAATGTAAGATCAGACTCTGACATTTTTAGACGTGACCACAAACTAATTTGAAGTAACAAAATTTATCACCTTTCAAGTTCAACAATTTTGTTACAGGATAAATAGTTCTCCTCCAAACATTTGGCTCTAAGTTTTCTTGCTTGATCTGTCACTTCAGCATATACACAAGCTCAAATATTGTGAATCTGTGATATGATTCCAAACTTTTAGCATGTCACTACCGCACTAGCATAATGCGTGCCCTTGGTGTAGGAGTTATTGACGCTTAAAAACTCTAGCAAAACTAAAATTTTCCACATGCAATATTAATGAATTTCCTTTTGAAAACGTTAGCTAAATATATCATCCTGAAGAATATTATATTCTTAAATGCAATTGCCGGATATGTAACTGTTGTGATGCTTTGCTGCTAATCCTCGTCCTTTAATTAAATTGGCGTTATCTAGGAAGCTCTTCAAGTTTTTTTCCTTTGGCTAATGCATTATTAGGCTTAAGTTAATTAAAATTCTATGGACCAACATGGATCTACATTTCAGGGTTACATGGCAATATCAAATGACTTTAATTCTATGAGATGGCCCATTGCTCTGTAGCTGCATTGAATCAGTTATGATTGCGCTAGTTCAATTAGATGGACCCAAGCCAATGTTAAGATCATAGACTCTTTGAACTTTTTAATGGTGAGAACAATCAACCATTTATAACCTTTTAAGTTTAACTATCTTGTCCTAGGATAATTAATTATTTTTGATTGTTTATAAAGTTATACATAATACTAAAAAAGAACAGAATTAAAATTAAACAAAAGTAACCAACCATGGTTATTTGATATATTTCTCCATCTACTATGCATGTGATGTTCAGAGTGATGGTGAAATAGATGGGGATATTATTAGTAGAATTTAAGTTGGATGGATGAAGTGGAGGAATGCAATGGGTTTGTTGTGTGATAGAAAATTACCACTCAAACTTAAGGGAAAATTCTATAAGATGGTAGCTAAACCTGCAATGCCTTATGACGCAGAAAGTTGGCCATTAAAAAAGAAGCATAATGTTAAGTTAAGTGTTGCAGAGATGAGGATGCTCGTGTGGATGAGTGTCTTTACTCTTAGAGGTAGGATATGAAATGAGCATATACGTGAAAAGGTTGGAATAGCTCTAGTGACAGATAAGATTAGAGAGAGTCGCCTTAGATGATTTGGTCACATAAAACAGCGGCCTTCCGATGACCCGGTTAAGAGAGTAGATGTGTACTATTTAACCTATGTTAAGAAAGATAAATGTAGGCCTAAAAAGACTTGGTTAGAAAATATTAGAAATGACATTTCTTTAGTAGATCTAAATGAGAATTTGAATCTTAACCGGACACAATGGAGAAAAAAAAGATTCATGTAGCCGACTCTACGTAGTGGGATAAAGGCTTGATGTTGTTGTTGTTGTTGTTATTTAATTCTAAATCCCTGTTTTTCTTCATCTAAGGTAGCTTGTTTCTGCATAAATGTGATACCCTACTGTGGTTTACTTTTTCACTGCCTTCTGTTTAATTCTACATATGCTTTTTTTCTTCATATGAGGTAGCTTATTTCCATCTTTTGTGTAGACCGAAGTGGCCTTCATCTTCATTTGTTTCGGCAGATGGGTTAGTAACTGCAATGGCATTTCGCCTTCCGCATGTGGTAAGTGCTCGTGAATTGGATTATTTTTTAGTTGAAAATTGCAATATATTAGATTTGGAAAAAGCTCAAAATGATCTTAAAAAGGCGTGGTACGTTTATGGTGCTCAATTTGATTCTTGAACTATTTAAAGTGATCAAATTAATCTCACTATTACAACTGCTGCTTAAATGATTGGTACGTTTAGGCAGGATATATTACTTGGAGGTTAAATATGTCAAACAATTTTATAATATATATAACATTTAGATTTTTACTATTATTAAATATATTTTTTTCATCGAAGTGTGGTCACTCGCCAACTAGGTCGAGATTGACGATCAACTACTACTAGCGAGGTTGACAAGCAATTGAAGGTGCATTTTGACTAGATGTTGACCCAAGGATGAGGTTCATGCCTCATCGGCATATCGACTAATGGTGAATTGGTGATTCCTAGGGATGGTGACGGAGATTGAGACGAACTTGAGTTTACTTTTTTGTATAAGCACAAATCATTATCATATTCTACTTTTGATGGGCAATGTTCACAATATTTGGCATCAATGATCCCTTTCTCAATGCTCTTCTTGTCGCGTTCTCTGCTCTTGGTTTGTTGTCATTGCGATCTCCAATATCCACTCTCCCTTTACTACTCGTCAATGAGCACCTATCTCCCTTTTCATTTGGCAATGGAGCTTGAGTATGAAAATAAGGATTGTGATAAGAAAACAAAAAGCAAGAAGCTATTGTAAAATTTAAAAGATGGCTATACTTACCACCATGTGAACTTTCCATCCATTTACACAGTGATTCTAATGGTGCGGCTTGTTTGGATTAATTTTGAATAGTTCAAGGTCCAAATTATGCACATTCAGTAGTCTAGGACTAAAATGGGCACCCAACAACAGGTGCAGGGTTCATTTTCGCCTTTTCTCTCGTAGTTTTGTTAAAATCTTTAATTCATTTTTTTTCAGGTGATGGGAGACAGATTAGGCAACATACGCTGGTGGGATGTGACTACTGGTCTTTCTTCTTCATTCAATACTCACAGAGAAGGAATTCGAAGGATTAAATTCTCTCCTGTTGTTCCTGGAGATAGTAGCAGAGGTCGTATTGCTGTGCTTTTTTATGACAATACCTTCTCTGTCTTTGATCTTGTAAGTGAAAGATATATATGCCAAACATCGTAGAAACATTTACTTAATCTTCAGGGCTTTGCTTTATTTAATGTTTTCCTTGAACTTGATTTTTGTTCTTTTCCTGTAAGCTATAATATTAGGCGCATGATTAGACTGTGTGGGCCATTGAACTTGTTGCACATTTGTCATATTTCTTAATTTCGTGGGTAATAAAACTTTCCTTTTCTAGTTCTTCGATGTTTTTTTTTTTTAATTAAAGCATATCGGGCAATGCCTGCAAACATTTTTAATAAGGAAAATATGTCAATTGCTCACATATTTTAGTCTTGACTTCAATGGATTATTTGATTCAATAAACTTTGAATTGTCATTTAGAGTTAATTGCTTATCATGGAATAGAATTTTGCACTATTCTATTTGTTAGATGACTAAATATATGTTGACATATTCTTTACTGAAATAAGAAAAAAAAACATTTTTATATGATTTTGTGGCTTGTGTATTGGGGTTCTTCTTAATCTAGTGTTGTAGCTAGCGCTTGTTGTTACGGTATTATTTGCTGATTTTTATTTCTTTGTGAAACTTTAACTTTTTCTAGGATTGGTGATCCTATCTCTGATTTTAATTATTTTGTGGGGAAGTCTCATAATTATAAATAATAATATTTGAGGCATGAAAAGAAAATTCCTTTGATATTTATGCTATGAGTTACATTTGTTGAATAATTGTGGGGCCAAAAAGTCAACTTATCTTGGTAAGGATCTTTGAGCACACAGACTAAGAGTTGTAACTATTGGATCGATTCTTTTATGGTAAAGCCAACGAGCAGTAGCATGAGCCCGCTAGCATCAGGAAATAGGAGCGCATAGCTAGTTTGCTAGTGTGGCTAAGGCAGAGGGAGAAGTAGAGGAGCGCAAGGGGTACTAAGCTCGGCCTATATTTGACTTAACACAACAATTGTGAAACTAAGGTAGCATTTGATGGTGCACTTGGCATGAATTGCAGCACACTCTATGGCAGAGTTGTGGAAAAACTCATTTGGTTCACTGAACGTACTTCACTTTCCGGCATGCCCATCCATGTCACTAGTGGTGAAACTCGTTTTGTTTATTGTTGAAGTGAATCTTTCCTGCCCTTACAGAAAATGATGTCTGTTGGTTTTCTGCTGGCACTTGCTCAGGCACTGAGAAAAGTGTGTAGTGCAGCTTCTGACAAAGCACTTACCTAAAACTTAAAATGCACTTGGGTTCAATATAACTCTATTTGCAGCGGCTTTAGTAAAACAGTAAATACATAACAATTTAGTTCTGAAATAAATTATTTATAAGTAGTGTGCATTGTGAAAATCTTTACTTTCTATATTTTTTATTTCAGTGATTAAAGAGAGAAATTTACTGTCCCAAACAAACTTTCTTTCTCAAGTCATATCGACATGTTATAACTTTAATACTTTCTATATAAATGAATCAACTTCCTCGGGGTACTCATGACAGGTTTTTCTCTCAATCGTTTACAGGACACAGCAGATCCATTAGCCTACTCCCTTTTGCAGCCACAATCTCCTGGAACCCTTGTTCTTGAACTTGATTGGCTACCAATGAGAACAAAGAGAGATGAACCACTTGTATTGTGTATTGCCGGGGCTGATAGCAGCTTTCGCCTTATAGAAGTTAGCATGTATGTTTGTGTTAAACCATATAGCTTTCTTATTCATCATGTTTTCTAATGCATCTGTGTTATAATCTTCATAAGCCTTATTTAGTTACTTGTGTTGCAATTGTTATTTTATTGTCGTGATCTAATTTGCATTTATCTATATATCTGTACTGTTGAAGTAGACAACTGGGAAGTTCAAATTACAAAACCAAACTTATTTAGTTTTGGCTGTTATTAATCGGAAAAAGTATTGCTTCTTTCCTGAAATCAACATTAGTTCTGAGTAAGAGATTGATTGGGGATCAACTTCAACTTATCTCATGATGTAAGCAAACAAACCTCATCCTACCATGATCATTGGATTTACCACCATCATTGGATAGCATAAAAACAAAAAAAAAATAGAAAATATAATTAATATTGTTCATAACAAAAAATTAAGCAAAAATCTAAATGCATCATCTCATGTTAAGCGGAGCATATACTCCATTATCAAGCTCCACTGGTGGTGATATTATCGTCTCTCCTGGCTCACCCAGCTTGGCTTGGGTGGAGTGGGCTGTGGGTATTCAGGGAGGCATTTTTCATACAAATTTTACATAAAGTATGTCTACAAAAAACTCTTCCAATGTGAGGAGAACAAGTGACAACAGTTTATGAGAGAGATCAAAATTATAGAAAATGAGGTTAGTCATTATCTTGGTACACTTTACTGGTCCATCAAAATTATAGAAAATTTTTCCTGCAGATCAATGGCTGCAGTCTTGTATAAGTCAGTGATTGCTTCCAATAATAGCTCACTATGTAAGCTTTATAGAGGATATCTGGTATGGTAGTTTCCATCTATCAGGTTGCTACATGGTGCATGGTGTTTTGGTTATTTTCTCTGCCAATTAGTGCTAGATATGAACATCAATTATTGGAGTGAAAGAGCTCTTCTTACTCCGAAACATGTAGGCTTATAAGAGTAGAGTGAAGGAGCTTCTTCATGACTCTTTTTAGCTCAGAAGCATTTGGTGCCTCGTACTGTTTGACCATATATGTGCTAGTAAATTCTTTGCTAAAAACAATCTCGTTGAGTACTGCAAAAAGTTCACAAGTATCCAACTGAGTACTACATTATTATTTTTCTTAAGTTGCTAACTAACTAAAGCAGTAGCATTGGAGAATGAATGCTGAATAGATTCATCTGAGAACCCACTAATGAGAAAAAGTAAACTAGACATATGTGCATGTACTCCGGATTAAGCGATATGCTGAAGGATAGGATCTTGCTGATGACGTCATGATGATTTCTGGAAAATAAGAAATCAAACTTCAGAATATGATTGGAGTAAAAGAAGTAAACTAGAAAGAAACTTTACCTGGATAAAGGCCAGTAAATAGGTTTTATAACTCTGCTTCACCATTTGTTGCAATTTGCTTATCTTAAGGAATAACTCTATTTTTTCCTCTTCTTGTGGATGTATAGAAATTGCAAAGAATATTACAATGGAAATGTTATGGAACAGTGGGAGGATCCTCAACTAGGCATAAGCAAGCAACTCAAAACTTAGGATGAAAGAGAATACAGGTTTTTTTTTTTTAATTTGGTTCTTCCTCAAAAGAAAAGAGCTTATTAAAAGAACCTTAGTTGGGCTTGCTATGACGATGCAGGGACTTCCTACAACTTCCTCTAATGTCAGTCTGACCCTCCAACAACAACCCACTTGCAGCTTCTACCTTCAAGGGCATGCTTCCTCATATGACTTTTTGGGTGCTTTTGCGATCTCCTCTCTTTGGTTTTGTTGCTTGCTTATTTGCTTTATGATAGTGAGTGTAACATATTGTTCCTGCAGTTCTATGCTATTATCTATTTCCAGTTGGTGCACTGCCATATGTTGTCATATTTGATGAGAAGATTTCTAAGTTAGTATTGCATTTTTGTCTCCCTTGGCATGTTTTTGGAAGGTTTCTTATTAAGGGGAAGTATTTTGGAAGGTTTTTAATTATGTTTATTATGTTATGAATGATTGAATTAGGGAGATTTTAATTAGGGCTTCAAATTATGTTTTTTATATAGTTGGAATGATTGAATTAGGAGATTTTAATTAGAAAGTTTCCAATTATGTTTCTTATGTATTATGACTATTTAAGGGAGAGTTTGTGTAAGGTTTGAGGTCATGTTTTGCTAGGGTTTGTTATGAGTTTCCAAGCGATGTCTATGATTTGTGGGAGAGCTGAACTATCTCTCAAATAGTAGATTAGTTTTATCTTGCATTAATTTTGAAGTCCAAATTCATCCCCTAAATTGGTATTCCTGTATTTATTTCTTATCTCATTTGCTTTTTTACTTCCAAGACACATCAAATTGGTATTAGAGCGGGATTTGAGGAGATATGGAAGCAACAAAGGTGGATGCGTTGAAAGGAAAAATGGAGCAAATCAAATTCGGGGTGGAGATATTCTCAACCGTCGAAGGAAATATTTTCAACCATGTAAAATCAGATAGAGAGCCAATTTGGAGGGTTGGAGGAGATGATGAAGAAGCTCATTGAGATGTAGTCCAAAAATCCACCGACGGTTCCGATTGCTAACCCCCACCATGATTTGACTAGCATTTCCTTGGACAAATCTAAAGGAAAAGAGATTAGATGGAAGAGTTCGACGATGAGTGCTCATTTCGTCAAGAGCCATCTCTTAGGGCTCCTATAAGGCAGAATAGAGTTTTCGGATGGGGGAATAGTAGGAAGGGAGTTTTATGATGGAGGTAGTAGGGTGACCAACCATTATGGGAGGCTATTTAGACAAGTGGAGTGGACAACTGGAGAAGGAGGTGGACGAGACAAGTCTTGGGGATCGGATCATGGGAGGAGAATGGACGAAAGGTGGGATTCCCACCCTTGATATACGAGGAAAACATGGAGGGATCACGACAACCGCTACACTGAACGAGGGAGAAGCTATTGGGGTGATGGCGAGCCAAATGTGAGAAAGTTGAAGATGAGAATGATGAAGAAAAGAAGGGTGAGAGTTCAATAAGTGAAACACAAGCTGCTTCTAAGGATAAACTGATCGACAAGAAGAAATATGTGAATATAGAAAGAAAATAAATAAACTTGCAAAGCCAAGTTGATGGTGCTAATCAAAACCTAAGTCCTATGCAAAGTGATTCTACCGAGACATCGACTTCCAAAAAAATTGTGTTTTCATAATCCATAAATTAAGATTTGAAAAAAACTAAAATCAAACCAACATCTGAGAATGAAAGAAAACCATTAAAAGCACATTTGGTTTCTATTGGCGTGGGTATTTTTGAAGATGGAAATGTTGAGGTTGAGACACAGGAGGTAGCTAATACAAAGATCTCAAAGGACAAAGTTGACATCAAATTGATTAAGATGGAAGATTCAAAGGATGAAATATAGGTTGGAACTGCTGATGCACTTGCTTTTTTCTTTCCAGGTATGGTTAGTCGCTTTACAAAATCTTTGCTTGTGACAAAGAATATGTTAAGTGGAACTGCAGGAAATGTTGGGAGCATTGAACATACAGTTCTTGGGTTATCTAAGTTCTTGATAGTAGGTTTAAGGAATAATGTAAACCTCAATGGACTGCATATGTCCACTAGCGAGATTACGTTTAGTTATCAAATCAAGAATGGATCAACCCACACAGTCCTGTATGTGATCCGTCAATCGCCTGCCGTTCTTCATAATAAATCAGAAGATTCAATATGTCAATCAGTACATACTCAAAAAAAAAAAGAGAGAGAAGGTGAAAAATCATGATATTTAAGAAAGAGGAACGAAGGGGAAGCTGTTTAGGAAGATTCCTAATCAACAGGTGCTATTTTGGAAGGTTTCTTATTAAGGGGAACTATTTTGGAACGTTTTCAATTATGTTTATTATATGTTATGAATGATTGAATTTGAGAGATTTTAATTAGGAAGCTTCAAATTATGTTTTTTATATAGTTGGAATGATTGAATTAGGAGGTTTTAATTAGAAAGTTTTCAATTATGTTTCTTGTGTGTTATGACTATTTAAGGGGGAGTTTGTGTAAGGTTTGAGATCATGTTTTGCTGAAGTTTATTCTAGGGTTTATTATGAGTTTCCAAGCGACGTCTAGGGTTTGTGGGAGAGCTGAACTATCTATCAAATAGTAGATTAATTTTATCTTGCATTAATTTTGAAGTCCAAATTCATCCCCTAAATTGGTATTCCTGCATTTATTTCTTATTATCCCATTTGCTTTTTTACTTCCAAGACACATCAAATTGGTATTAGAGCGGTGTTTTAGGAGATATGGAAGCAACAAAGGTGGATGCGTTGAAATCAAAAATGGCGCAAATCAAATTCGGGGTGGAGATATTCTCAACCGTCGAAGAAAAGATTTTCAACCATGTAAAATCAGATAGAGCCAATTTGGAGGGTTGTAGGAGATGATGAAGAAGCTCATTGAGATGCAGTCCAAAAATTCACTGACGGTTTCGATTGTTAACCCCCACCATGATTTGACTGGGATTTCCTTGGACAAATCTAAAGGAAAAGAGATTAGATGGAAGAGTTCGATGAGGAGAGCTCATTTCATCAAGAGCCATCTCCTAGGGCTCCTATAAGACAAAATAGAGTTTTTAGATGGGGGAATAGTAGGAAGGGAGTTTTATGGTGAAGGTAGTAGGGTGGTGACCAACCGTTATGGGAGGCTATTTGGACAAGGGGAGTGGACAACTGGAGAAGGAGGTGGACGAGACTAGCCTTGGGGATCGGATCATGGGAGGCGAATGGACGAAAGGTGGGATTCCCACCCTTGATATCTGAGGAAAACATGGAGGGATCACGACAACCGCTACACTGAACGAGGGAGAAGCTATTGGGGTGGTGGTGAGCCAAATGTGAGAAAGTTGAAGATGCGAATGATTGAAGAAAAGAAGAGTGAGAGTTCAATAAGTGAAACACAAGTTGCTTCTAGGGATAAACTGATCGACAAGAAGAAATATGTGAATATAGAAAGAAAATAAATAAACTTGCAAAGCCGA